AAACTTAAAACTTCTTGGGTGAGCTGGCAACGCCCAGTTAATGGGACTTTGAAATTAAATGTTGACGGTGCTGCGAAAGGAAACCCAGGGATGGCTGGTGGAGGTATGGTTCTTAGAAATGACAGGGGTGATGTGGTTCTTGCTGCTACCTTCTTCTATGGAGTCTGCTCTAATACAACAGCTGAGTTTCGTGCGATGTTAGATGGGTTGTCTATGATATTGAGATACGGCTTGTCTTCGAATATGATCTGGATTGAATCCGACTCATTGGTGGTAATCAATACCATCAAAGGAGATACAGAATGCGGTTGGCACTATTGGGGCACTTTGGAGCATATAAAGAAAATTCTTAATGGGCTACAATTCCACTTGACACATGTTTTTAGAGAAGCGAACTCTGTGGCTGACTCACTGGCCAACAGGGCTGTCCAAGATGGCTTTTCCTCTGATTTTTCTGATTCCCGCTACCTGCTGCTGTAAGGATGAATGTTGGGCAAGACCAGCGAGGCTTACCTTTTCTTCGAACCAAATCAGTGCTGATTTTTGATGATTGTGGTTAACTTGGGGGTACCTTTACCTCTTAGCTTGAGGTGCCTTTTTGTGTCCAGCCTCCGGTTATAGGCTATTGGTCTTAACAATTTTTTTTGCTGTGGTGGTTTTTGACTGCTGTCCGGTTTGGATTCCAGCTGGGGCTTCCTATTTTCCTGCTTTGTCCAGCTGGTGGGCTGCCTTTTCTTGGTTTTCATCTGGAGTGGCTGTCTTTATTCAGCTGGGCGTTTCCCTGTCGGTTCCCCCCTCTACTGGTTTGTTGCTGGGTGTCTGCTTGCTCATAGGTTCTGCTCTACTGGTTTTCAGCTGGATTTTCCGTTGGTGGTAACTTCCCCAGCTGGACCTTCAGCTGGTCTTCCAACAGTCTTATTCCTTTGTATTTTCTTTACCTTCTCTTGAAGGATTAAAGCCATCTTAGGCCTTTCCCCTCAAAAAAAAAAAGGGGTTTAGGGTTTAGGATGCAGGAGGCAGTTATTTCATTCTAGAGAGAGAAGCTCTGACTTCTCTCTAGACACTGTTCACGAGTTGTCAGATCTTCCTTGTTTCTGGCTGATCTTTCATCATTTGTTTGCATTTCCTTTGATTTCTTACTGGTTTTGATCGAGTTAGTATGGATACTGGCCAGCAATCTCGGCAAATACCCCCCAAACCTCCTGACATTACAAAAAATTTTGCCTCTCTGTTCAAGAAACCTTCAAATATGGAAAATTCTATAATGATTCCTAATACTTCAGAGATTATTTCCTTGACAAGTGTTGATCCTTTGGGATGTAATAACTCCAATCCTATGCCTCTTACAACTCAATCGAATAGAAACAAGCCGACTGTTTAGATTCTTCCTTCGACTGTGCCATCTTTGTCTGAGTCAGGAATTCAGGTTCCTTTTGATTCCTTAAAAAAACATTAGGGTTTAGGGTTTTTTAGGGTTTAGGGTTTGGGGTTTGGGGTTTGAGATTAAAGAAGCTTATTAAATTGCAGGATGTATGTGTAGTTGCACTTCAAGAGCCTAAATTGTTGGTTTCCAAATTGATTCCTTTTGGTAGGAGTATTGGTCTAGAACACTTCTGTTCCAATGCTCTAGCAGAAAGAAATATTTGGATTTTATGGGATGAGAGAATCAGATTAAGGGTGTTATTTGAACATGCCCAAGTATTAACTGTGGAAATAACATTTATGACCTCAGTTGTATTATGGGTTTCTATTGTATATGCCAGTTGTGATCTGTTTGCAAGAAGGCTCTTATGGGATCACTTGTTGAATATTGATATCCCTTCTGATGTTCCTTGGATGGTGGTGGGTGACTTCAACACAATTTTATCCTCTGCTAAAAGATTGGGGGGAGCTTCTCCTTCTTAGTTATCTATGGAGGATTTTGGTGATTTTTTGAATCATAGGGGTCTATTGGATGCTGGTTTTATGGGGAACAAATTTACATGGTGTGATAATAGAAAAGGAGGTATCCGGATGAAGCAGAGGTTGGATAGAGCCCTGATTAATCCTTTCTGGAATCTAAATTTTGACAGTCTGGAAGTGGTTCACTTGGCAAGAGGTGCTTCTGATCATAGTCCTTTATTATTGAAAATCATGGATGCTCCTCTTCAGAAGAGAATCTCCTACTTTAGATTTCAAGATATGTGGTGTGATCATGAGGGTTTTATGGCTATGATAGCAGCTAACTGGTGTGGACAGTATTCAGATAATCCAATGTCAAATTTGTTTATTAAGATGAAATATTTGAAAGCTCATATAAAGATGTGGAACAAAGAGGTGTTTGGTAATCTCTTTGAGAAGTTGAGAGATTATGAATAGAAGATAAGTTTGGTTGAACAAGATTTAGACCAAAACTTTTCTGATCCAAAAGCTATGGAGTTAAAAGCCATGCAAAGTGAAATGGATGATTGGTTAAGAAGAGAGGAAATTTACTGGAAACAAAAATCAAATGTAAAATGGGCTATTCAGGGGGAGAGGAATACCAGATTCTATCACTCTATTGCTAAAAGTAGAGTTGTCAGGAATAAAGTCTCAAGAATCAAGAATAATGAAGGGATCTGGGTGTATGGAGACAAGCAGGTAGCTAAGGTGGCTGAGGAATTTTATGTTGAACTCTATAAGTCAGAGAATCATACAATCAATGAACAACTACTTGATGTCATTCCTAAGACTATAAGTCAAGAGGATAATGAGAAGCTAACTGCTGAGGTTACTTTGGAGGAATTGAAAGATGTGGTATTTTCAATGGCTACTGTGAGTGCTCCGGGGCCAGATGGTATGTCTGGTAAGTTTTTTCAGTTTGCCTGGGATATAATTAAAGTAGATGTGGGTAGAGCTATAAACTTTCTACTTAAAGGAGGCTTAATTCCCAAATCTGTGAACTCTACTTTGTTAGTGTTGATTCCTAAGAAGGTGGTTCCTACTTCCTTTTTTGATTTCAGACCCATAAGCTTATGTAACTTTTTATATAAGATTTTTACAAAGCTGCTTAACATGAGACTAGCTTCCCTCCTTCCTGGTTTAATCTCTGAAGAACAACATGGTTTTGTTAAAGGGAAAGGGATTGGGGATTGTGTAGCACTGGGACAGCTTCTTGTTGGTGAATTAGATAGGAAGGTTGAGGGTGGAAACATTGTTATGAAGCTGGATATGATGAAAGCATATGACAGGATGGAATGGGATTTTTTGTTGAAAGTACTGGCTAGATTTGGCTTTTCTGATTTGTTCACTCAGATTATTTTGAATTGCTTGAATAGTCAGTTTTTTACTGTATGCTTAAATGGACAAAGATATGGTTATTTTGCTAATTCAAGGGGTTTAAGGCAGGGAGATCCTCTCTCTCCCACTTTATTCATCCTGGCTGAAGAGGTGTTGAGTAGAGGTTTGAGGAGAATTTATAGTCAAAATTTGGTAAAACATTTTCATATTGGGAGAGGAACAACAGTTGTCAGTCACTTACTGTTTGCTGATGATACCCTGGTCTTCTTAAGGGGTACCAAATATTCTATTTTAAATGTAATGAATTTTATTGCCCTTTATGAATCAAGCTCTGGTCAGAAGGTTAACAAGCTGAAAAGTGCAGTGTATTGTTCTAAGCTGATTTCTGTAACCAGAAGGAATAGGCTGGCTTCTGTAATGGGGATTCCTTTTAAGGACTGTCCTTTTACTTATTTGGGATGTCCCATTATCAGAGGAAGGGTTAAGAAATGCTATTTTGAAGAGGTGGTGGAAAGCTTTAGAAAAAGAATTGAAGGTTGGTATGCCATATTGTTATCTGGTATGGGAAGAATTGTTTTGATACAATCAGTTCTTAGCTTAATTCCTATTCATATGTTGGCTTGTTTGAAAATTCCAAAAGGTATTCTGAATAAGCTGAATTCTCTGATTGCTGACTTTATTTGGTCTAGTCAGATGGACTCTAAGAGAAGGCATTGGGTATCATTGAAGAACATTTCAAAACCCAAATTAGAAGGTGGCTTGGGGATTAGAAGTTTTGATGATGTTCAAGCAGCATTTAGAATCAAACAAGTGTGGGGAATATTAAATGGATCTTCTTTGTGGGCCAAAGTATTTAAAGAAAAGTTTCTTCAGGGGAAGCACATGCTGAGATGTGGAAATACAAGAGCTGGTCAATCCTTCAAAATATTGAGGCCTTGGTTTAAATTTACCATTCAGAATTCATTGAAAATTATTGGAAATGGCCAGTGTACTAATTTTTGGTGTGACTCACGGATGGATAGTGGTCCTCTGATTTTGAGAACTAGGATACCTCCCTTGATTTTTCCCAGAATTAATGAGGTATGGAATGGTGTGGAATGGAGGCTAGATGAAGTAGCTGAATGGCTTAACCCTCAGATTTGTTCTGAGATTGAGAGTATGACCTTTATAAGATCTGAGAGTTCAGATAAACTTGTTTGGAGGCACACTAATTCAGGCTGTTTTACTGTTAAATCTGCTTGGAGTCAAATTAGGGAAAAAGGGATCCAAAATGAAATAGCTAAATGTATTTGGAAACAAAAAATTTTCCCTAGTGCTCAGTTGTGCACTTGGAAAATTTTCAGAAAGGCTTTGACTACTGATGATAGAATACAAGGAGTGGGTGTAGCTATGGCTAGTAAGTGTGTACTGTGTGGCAGGGCTGAGGAAGCTGTTTGGAGGAAAGTTGCTGTGGAACTGGGGTTTGATGTTCTGTTAGGAGAATCTCCTCTGTGTAGGTTTCTGAGATTGATGAGAAGGTTTAAAGCCCCTTCACTCAGTCATAGTTTGACAAGGGGAGTATCTATGTTGATTTTTAGGGTTTAGGGTTTAGTGTTTAGGGTTTAGGGTTGTTAAAGGGTACTACAAAAATCATGTGAAGGTAAATATCACGTATCTCCTCTAATTTATTATCTTTTTAATGCTTAGGAAGAATGACATATGTCTGAATTTAAGTCACATCAGTTTTCTTTTTGTTTTTTTTTTTGGGAGGAGAAGGGGAAGGGGAGGGGGAACATCAGTTTTCTTTTAGTGCGTTATCTTTCTCTTAATTATCTTTACCAGAAGGAGCACAAGAGGCAGTGATTTCTTATATAAATGTATTATACAGTTAAGTCTCGCAGTCGCAATTTGTTACGAACTTGCAGTTCACATCTGATACTTTTAATTTTCTCTTAAATTATATCAAAAAATTGATGCGGACATCGGGATGCAGGCCATGCTCACAAGAGTCAACTCGATAACTGGGGTGCCATATAAAGATGATCCCACCATTTTTGCATGGGAGCTAATGAACGAGCCTCGTTGCCAAAGTGACCTATCTGGACGAGCTATTCAGGTTCTTTCCCGTCTAAATTATATCAGATTTTTAGATTTAAATAATATTACTTCTCTCATAAACTTGGGCAAAGATTAATATCTTCACTACATGGAAACAAGATACTTTTTAAATATTTTTTAACTATCATTTCAATTGATAGATATGAGATTCGAATCAGTAACTTTCATTCCCTCAAATTTGTGTAAACCATCTCACTCAAATAGACCTGTAGGTCTAAAACAAAAAGAAGAATACTAAATCTCTTGATTAAAGATTAATTCATTCAATATTTCATTTTTTAAAGGACAAATTTTCACATTTAAATTATGTGTTTAGATATCCAAATACCCCACCCCGTCCATCTCAAATCTTCTTTTTGAATAACACACACGGTCACAACATTGACTTTGTTTCGTACCGAGGGTAGGAGCCAAGACTTATGTAGTGGGGGCAACTTCTAACTCATTATTAAACTAAAATAATAATGCTAAAACTATTTAATTTTATCGCAAACATAGTGATCTGTCAATATTTGGTTTCAATCTTAGAATATTGTTGTGATCGTGTAGCAATTATGGTGAATAGTAAGGAATCAAACAATTAAGAAAGCAGGAGAAAATAACACACAAAGATTTACGTGGTTCGGCAATGTGCCTACATCCACGAGAGCGAGCGGCCGTTCTATTCCATTATTGAAGTAGGGTTACATCTTATGTAGGCAATGTGCCTACATCCGCTCCGCTACGTTCCGCTTCGCTCCACTCCGCTACGCTCCGCCCACTCCGGCATCTGCCTCCTTGCCATTATGCACATAGTAAAATATGAGCCACACATACTCTAACAGATATGTAAGTTCAAACTATAATTATAAAATTAGAATATAGAACTTTAAATATGATTTTAATTTATATTTGGGACACATGCACACAATGTAGGATTATGTCTAACGAGAAACTGAAGATAGAGTCATGACATCAAATTGTATGGAAGAATTTTACCACTTGATGAAAAAATCTCACTTATTTACTAAAATATAAAGAGAAATACTTTAGAACCTAAATAATTAATTTAATTTGATGACCTAATGATGTGACGGCTAATATGGTGCAATAATATTATTTTAATTGCACCTCGTAAATTATCTTCATTGAAATTACATAACTTCACACATAATTAGGTCAAGCATATGTTTAATCCTTGAAAAGTAAAGAGAACGTGTTAAAAAGTGGAGAAGTATTGTGTTCAATCGATAAATAGATATGGCATACAACTTTCGTTGTAAATCGGTTCAAAAGCAAAACATGTGGACTATTAACATATTGAAGGAAAAAAAAGACCTGGGGCTGCCATTCTAATTATCAAAAAATTAGGGGGGACAATGTATTAATTTTAATAGATATGTAATCTCTCTAATAAAATATGTTGCATGTTAATTCAAGAGTCAGCGGTGGCAACTGCCCCCACACCCTTCAATGTGGCTTCGCCACTGTTTGGCACACACGCTTGCACCCAAATCATAAAATTTAGCTCGAGTTACATTGAGATCCATGTGTTTCGACGATGAAGAGAAGGCATCCTCTTTAAATTTGTTTGATATTGACATGGCATGAACTATGCGAAGTACTACTATTTCTTTGAGAAGGGGACTTCCAACTCGTCCCAAGCAAATAAAAAATAATGTTACAAAGAGGATTATAAGAGTTCCAAGACTCCATTTAATGCGCCCTATCAAAAAAAAATTGCATGCAAGTTCGAGAGCAATGACTAATGTGAAAATTTGATGAATCACCTTCTCGCCATACCATTTGTCTGTCTTTCAATGTAAATTGAGTAAGGTCTGCGAAAGATTTGATATGTTATTTTGTATGTTCTTTTACAAGATAATTTTTTAACTTTAAACGTTGTTCACATAATGCAATAGAATCTAGATTCTTTTGTTCAAAATGTTTTTTGTCATAAAAATCATCCAGCACGACATTGCCGACTTCCAAGGCTCATAAATATATCTTTTGCACCACACCTGCTGATTGTTTGGGATTTAGTCATGACATACTTGATTTTTTACAGGAGTGGATTGTAGAAATGACGGCCGAAGTTAAATCCTATGATAAAAATCATCTTCTGGAAGTTGGGCTTGAAGGATTTTATGGGGAATCGATGCCCGAAAAGAAACAATACAATCCAGGCTACCAAGTTGGGACGGACTTCATTTCCAATAATTGGATCCCTGGAGTCGATTTTGCTACAATTCATCTCTACCCGGACCAATGGTTTGTAACTTCTAGTCTGGAAAGAAAAACATTGCACGTTGCATAAAAAAAAGATAAACAGTTAAATTCTACTTACCAGATACCAAAAAAGAATAAAAAAAACTCATACCATGTGTGGACCTAATAAATAATAACTGGGCGTAGCATTTGAGAAATGACGTGAAACTCATTGTGATATTTTACTCTATTCACTATACGGGCATTAGACTCACCTTAATAATATTGGTTTGATGTGCGCACGGGATGGCAGGATGCCTGGTTCAAATGATCAAGCCCAAGCTAATTTTGTGGATAGGTGGATCCAAGCCCATATCCTAGACTCCAAATCAGTGCTTGGGAAACCACTCCTGGTGACTGAGTTCGGCAAGTCTTCGAGGTCAGCTGGGTACAGTGTGGGTGCGAGGGACTCCTATTTTGGGAACATATATAACACAATCTACAGTTGTGCAAGAACAAGTGACGGCCCATGTGCTGGTGAGCTGTTTTGGCAACTCATGGCCCAAGGAATGGACAACTTTAGCGATGGTTATGAGGTTGTCTTGGAACAGAGCCCTTCAAGTGCTGCAATCATTGCTCAACAATCTCACAGGCTGTCTGCTCTTAGCTAGACTTCATAATCTGCCCAGAAAATAAGGAAAGCATTAAATGTATTTAATGATGTCAAAAATCAGAGAATAATGATAACAATAATAGTTGGTATGCGCAGGCCTATAATGTTAGTGACCGTTTATGCAAGCCATATGCTTTTATTGCTAATATTATACAAATAAAGTCTTCATTTCTTTTCTTCAAGATCTGACAATAATTTTTCACAGCTTCACCCTAATTCTGATCTCTCACTTTGAACCCTATTTTAAAATAGATAGACTAGAAACAACTTTAATGAATAAACGTTGTAGCTCATTCAACCTTCACATCGAGACTAGATTTACCGTAAAATTTGGGTCCTATTGAAAACAAAAACTAACCATCTAAAAAAGAGATCATAGTTAGTATATTTTGGTGACAAATTTTGGTATTTTACGATTTAAGGATGAAAAGGTGAGCCAAACACCTAATTGTTGGTTAGAAAAATATTGTGGCACACAAAACCAAACAAATACAACAAGAACGAGAAGAATAAAATATTGAAGAAAAAATTTCCTACCAGAAATTGAATTGAGCGAAAAGATTTTTATTGTAGCTACAAATGTCACAACAACAGATGTATATTGAGTGGGCAAAAATATTGTTGCCCTTAAAGATATCATAATGAACCTTGCCTTGTGATGACACTGAGATCTTATACTTAGTATGAACCAAACACATACAATGCTCGCAAAAACAATATATCAAACACAAAGTAGACACAAGTTTGTAGGACAATGTGCCAATTTTTTACTTCTCAGCAAGTACAAGGATTCTAACTAAAGGCCTTTAAAAAACACCCCAAATTTTTTCTTAGGGTACTACAGAACCTAGTATCAATATTTAAACCTACAATTGCAATTACAAGTCAACTGCCTAGGTAATGCTATCTCCAGCGTTGGTTAAATCAACCAATGCAGTTGACATTCCCAATTGCTAGGACGTGTTGACACCAATCAGATTCGGCCTCAAATGTTTGGGGTGATTTTCCTGTAAACCACCATACTACTGAACAAATTAGAAATCCCTTGCATGGTTGGAGCAGTTGTTTTCGAGTAACCGCTGTATAAGTCAGCCAACAATCACTCTTAACCTTCCACATAGTTAACAATTGTCATTCTTGTCAGCCCACAACAACTAATCTTTCCCTACCAGTATGCCAAGCCCTGCCAATAAAATTTTACAACCAAATCGTACAAGGAACCAAAAAATCTAGCGGTTGAAGGTCTAGGGGTTTGAGGTTCAAGGCTTGGGGTTTGGGGTTTAGGGTTTAGTTATCGAAGATATTTGGTCAGACCCTAATTGACAAATGTGCCTATGGGAAACCTTCCCTAGGAGTAAATTGAGAATTTATTACTACTCGGTGGATACTGAAAGGGGAATTTACAGTGGGAATTCTGGATCATCGGCATGTGTTGATTAGGTTTTCACTCTATGAGGATTACGTGAAGACTTGGCTAAAAGATGCCACTTATATCGAAGGATTCTTGTTTAGGTTTTTCAAATGGTTCCCTGAATTTCAACCTGGTGTTGAGCCTTCTGTAATTCCTGTATGGGTGTCCCTTCTTGGGTTGCCCATTCATCTTTTTAATCATGATAGTCTGAGGGATATTTTGAGTCTAGTAGGAAGGATCTTGGTGATCGACAATTCGACTTTGTAGTTAACACGTCTTGAGGTAGCGAGGGCTTGTGTAGAAGTTAATCTTCTAGAGAATAATCCTAAAAGATTCTGGTTAGATATGGGAGATTCGTCTGGGAGATGGCAGAGAATTTGTTATGAAAAGGAAGGGAGGTATTGTTCTATTTGTTTGAAACATGGACATAGTGATGAGGATTGTAGAAAAGGGAAGAAAATGGAAGGAGGATGATTGCCTAATGATAAGGGGGAGATCCCTATAAAGGACAATAAGGAAGAGCCTTGGAGAGTGGTTAAAGGAAAAGGGAAAAAGCAAGAAAATTAGTTGGCTGATTTGCAAAAAGGAGAAGTACTCATTGCCAAAGAGGGGAAGACGCGAGTCTCAGAGGGAGGATAGGATTGTCTAATATCCATAGGGAAAGGTAAATGTGTTATGGAGGAGGTTAGTGATCATTTGGGGTAAGGACGTATCTTCTTGTTCAGTTGCTGTTCAAGAAGAGGGTATGTGGTCTTTAGGGGGTAGGCGAATAAAGAAATCAGTGCTGTACTAGTTAATGTGCAGGTGGGGAATGTTGTTCCCTCACCAAGGAAATCATGGGGAGAGAAGTGTGAAATGGATATGGGGGAGATAGGAGATGGGGGTGCTAAGGTTGCAAGTATTCAAGAGGAGAAAAATGGGTGTCTACGTGAACTGCTAGGTAATCAAAGTCCTGTTCAGGAACTGGAAATGGAGGTTGTTGGTGTCGAGGAAGGATGGAATTAGGTGGTAATTCATTAGAAGGAGGAGCTTTACAGTCTTTATGTGGTTTGAACATGCAGTGTTCTCCTTCTTTACGTTCTTTTTTTTTGGTGGATCATCAATTTGAGGAAAGAGAGGGGTAAAGGGCCATTAGATGACAATAGGGGATTGTTTGTGCTGAAAGAACCTCCTGATAGAGGATATTGTTTTGACAAGGGGAGTTCTAATAGTTGTGAAGTAGCTATGGATACTGAATGCACAAAGGTATCTTTACCTGAGGAAGGTGAGGAGGTTCAGAATAGGGTAACCCATGGAGGTAAGGCTTATTTACCTTTTAAATGATTAATATTCTTTCTTGGAACTTAAGGGGAGAAGGTAAAGCTACTTAGAGAAGGAGAATTAAGAAGATAATTTTGTTAAATGATGTTTGTCTTATTGTGATTCAAGAGCCTAAGCTTAGTGCTCAGAGATTGCTTAAGTTTGCTAAATTTTTAGATCTCAGAGGTTTTTGTTATAGTGAGTTGGCTGAGAGGAATATTTGGCTGTTATGGGATGATAGAGTGGAGGTAAGGATGTTATTTGCACATGAACAATCTTTGTCACTGGAAGTAATTTTTTTGCAGTCTAAGCTGTGTTGGCTTTCTGTAGTTTATGCAGCTCGTGATTATTTGTTGAGGAGACCTTTGTGGGGTCATTTGAGGAATATTGTAATCCTTTCTAGTATTCCTTGGATAATGATGGGTGATTTTAATACAGTTTTGAATTATGCTGACATGCTTGGTGGAGCTCCCGCTTCCTTTGTTTCTATGGAGGACTTTAGAGTATGTGTGGATGATGGGGGGTGGTTTGATTATGGTTTTGAAGGAAGTAGGTTTGCCTGGTGTAATGACCATGGGGGGAGTAGCAGGATGTGGCAAAGGATTGATCGAATGTTTGTTAATTCTATTTGGAATTTGACTTTTGAAAAAACTGAAGTTTTGCATTTGGCTAGGGGTGGTTCAGACCATTGTCCTCTTTTGGCCAAGATTTTGGATACTCCAGTTGTACCTAGGGTGTCTTATTTTAAATACCAAGAAACGTGGAAGGAGAATCCTGGTTTTTTGCATTTGGTAAGTGCTACATGGGATGTGACTTTTTCAAGTAACCCAATTGAGAATGTCTTTTTAAAGTTTAAGAGACTAAAAGTTCAATTGAAAGTTTGGAACAAGGAAGTCTTTGGCAATATCTTTGATAAGGGCAAAGGAAGTTGCTTTGTTGGAGGCTAAGCTGGTCATGGAGAGGGATCCTAATGCAGCAAATGAAGCAGTTTTGGAGGAGGAAAAGAAGGGTTTGGATGATATGTCAAGGTTGGAAGCAATTTTTTGGCGACAGAAGGCCAATGGAAAATGGGCAATGGAAGGGGAGAGGAATTCTAAATTTTACCTTGCAGTTGCAAAAGGTAAGGTAGTAAGGAACATAATTAAGAGGATTCAAAATGAGAGGGGCGTGTTGGTGCATGATGAGAAGGAGATGGCCCAAGTTGCAGAGGTTTTTTTTCTCTACTCTCTATAAGTCAGAGGATGTATTCCTTAAGCTGAAATAGAGGAGGATGCATTTGAGATGGTGGAACAAAAACGTATTTGGAAATATTTTTGAAAGAATAAAGAAACAGGAGAATGATTTATTGGAAGCTGAGAGAAGGATAGATTTAGCTCCAACCCATCATGCTCAGTGAGCTTTGGAAGTTGCACAAACACAGGTGGATGATACTCTAAGGTTAGAGGAGTTTGGAAGCAGAAATCTAATATGCAGTGGACTTTGCATGGGGAAAGAAGCACAAAACTTTATCATGTTATTGCACGAGGAAAATCAGTGAGAAATTAGCTTAGGAAAGTGAAAGATGAGGATGGAAATTGGTTAGTTGAAGAGCATCAAATGGCTGCCTGTGCTGAGTGATTTTTTTTCCAAGCTTTATGCAATTGAATCACATACTATGCAAGAAGAACTTTTTTCAGTTATTCCCTCTTTAGTCTCTACTGAAGATAATTCTATATTAACAACGTTAGAAACTATGGACGAGCTCAAATCAATTGTCTTTTCTATGTCAGCTGATAGTTTGCCTGGGGCAGATGGGTTTTCTGGCAAATTTTTCCATAGCACATGGGAAATCATTCAAGAGGATATCTTGGTAGCTGTGAATCATTTTTAATAAGGAGGAGAAATACCAAGGTCAGTCAATGCAACCTTGCTAGCACTTATTCCTGAGAATAATAACCCAACATCATTTGCAAAGTTCAGGCCAATTAGTTTATGCATTTTCTTTTATAAGATATTTACAAAGCTGTTAGCAACAAGATTGAGTGTTTTATTGTCTTCGCTTATATCGGAGGAACAACATGGATTTGTGAAAGGTAGAAATGTAGGTGATTGCATTTCTATTGCATAGTTTATGGTGGATAAATTGGATAGAAAGGTGGAGGGAGGAAATATCATTCTTAAGCTAGACATTATGAAAGCTTTTGATAGATTGGAATGAGACTTTCTAAAGAAGACTCTTTCTGCATTTGGTTTTTCAGAATTATTTGTCTTGCTTATTTCTCACTGTCTTGCTAATCAGCATAACACACTAATTTTAAATGGCCAAAGACATGGATTTTTTCCAATTACAAGAGGAGTGAGGCAAGGAGATCCAATGTCTCCTACATTATTTATTTTAGCTGGGGAAGTCTTGAGGAATTTGTATTAGCTGGGTAAAGTTAAGCACCATCATATGGGCAGAGGAGCTGAATTGCTGAGCCACTTATTATTTGCAGATGAAACTTAGATATTTTTGAGAGGAGAAAAATCATCTTTGGTGAATCTTCTTTTTTTTCATCTCTAAGTATGAAGCAGCTTCTGGTCATAAAATAAAATTTCCGAAGAGTTCAATGTATTGTTCTTCTAAGATCTCAAATGCTAGAAGGAGAGTATTACAACAAGCAACAAAGGTTCCTATTCGAAAGTGTCCATTCACTTACTTAGGATGTCTAGTTATTAAAGGCAGGCCTAAGTTAGTTTATTTCGAGGACTTGATGCAAAAATTTAGAGCAAAGCTGGAAGGTTGGTATGCTAGAATGTTGCCCAATATGGGTAGAATTGTGCTGATAAAATCTATTTTGAGTGCTATTCCTATGCATATTCTTGCCTATACTAAGTTGCCTAAAGGAATAATATCTAGGATTAACTCTCTTATGGCTGCATTTCTTTGGTCAAATGATCCTACTATCAGGAAAAGACACTAGTGTTCATGGAATGTTGTCACACAACCGATGGAGGAAGGGGGGGGGGTCTTGGTTTGAGAAAGTATGAGGATGTCTCTAAGGCATTTCAGATGAAACAAGTTTGGAACTTGATGACTAAGTCTT